TCGAATTGTAGCAGCCTTGCCACACCAACACATCGGCGCTTCTTCATCCATTCCGGGCATCCAATCGCTTCTAGATCTTCTTCGCTAGTTTCCTCTGGCCAGCTTCCTCTCGGCTTATGTTGAATATAAGGTGCAACGAAGCAGACAGTTAACTTCCTTTTTTACAAAACAAAATTTTTTTTCCCAAAAATGCCCTTCGTCTGGACTATTTCGACTGGCTAGTTAGATTATGTGGTGGGACCCACAATTGCCACGTCATCATTTAACGTCTGACCTGATGGTCAATGTAACGGCCGGTGTAAATTGGTAAGTTTTTGAAATGTCAGGTACAAAATTGATGAAATTGAAATCTAGGGGCCCATTTCGATAACGACCTTAAACCTCCAGGGACTAAAATGACGTTAGTCCTATAATATTTTCAAAATGTTGAGAAGGGTCAAGTGACCCTTGTGGGCCGTAATTGGCTCCTCCAAAGATTCGACACGTGGGGATATCACACTAAACCTGTTTGATTTACAAATTTCGTGCACACCAAGCCCATGAGGAAGATTCTATCAAAAATCTAAGCTAGGCGAAGATCAAATTCGTATCAAGTTCATGCACTTCAAGCCCACTCTTCTGCCAAGCATAAGCACATACAAGCTTTTAGCCCTTGCAATATAAGCTTGTGGCCACTGCACTGCAAGCTTCCAAGCCTCCCATACACAGCCAAAGCATGGTAAACACATGCTTGCATACATCCTTTCAATACCAAGCGTCTTCCCTTTGTGACAAACCATCCAACAAGCTCACGTGGGCTCAAGCCACATAAACTCCTAGGGTGTACTGAGTAGGCTATGGTGTGGATGGTGACAAGGGTCCACTAGGCCCATGGTAGACTTTAGAGAATGGAGGTTTTGGGCTACACCAAAACTCAAGCCCGTTTGCTAGAGCTCAACCATATGAGTAAACATTAGAGAAAGTTAATGTCCATTTACAAACCAACTAAACCTTCCCAAACTCAAACCAAAACCCAATGAAAAGCAACTAAACTAGTTCAAAACCCAAAATCCCATTAAGGAAGTCAGAAATGTTTAATATCTTGTTGGCATGAATTTTACCCTAACAAGCTTTTGGAAAGAAAAAAGGAAAAAAGTAGAACTGGTCTTTTGCCAATGAAGGAAGGCCTAGCAAAGCTAGCTACAGGGAGATGTTGGGCATCAATTTCTTTTGTCGAGCACCTATTGGACCATCCAGTTTTCAAATTACTTCACTAAGAAGACTGAATAGGGAGGGGAAGACTTTGCAAAAAGGGAAAAGTTCGAGCAGAGTGTGCAACTACTAGGGTTTGACACATTAGAAAATCTCCAGCCTCTGTACAATATAATGCCCAACATACCATACCAAAAAAAAAAAAAAAGCCCAACATTCAGTGTGAGGACCCACCCTGGAAGCCATAGGAAATACCACTTTCAATGTTGTTGTAAACATTGTAAACATTGTCATTTCAAACCACGAGATCCATATGAGGAAAGCAATCAAAGAAATTGATGTCAATCTAGAACATTCCTAAGGAGGATAGAATCAAGTGATCAGATTTGCAATCCGACAATCTCATTCAAATCAATTCTATGGATTTAAGAAGCCACACAAGGAAAGATTTTGAACAAAGTTGACCTTCGAGCCATTTGATGGCTAACCCATGGGTAGACAGATACCCCCATATAAACCTCTTAAGAAGAAGGGAGGAAGACCTGACTTCAGACACAAAAAACCTATTTTTTTTTTTTTTATCTTTGACTTTTCTATCCCTAGACTAGGTTTTATTTTCAAAGCAAGTAGACTAGATTAGTTCTTCGCCTTCGTTAGTGTAAGTTTATGTACTTACATTTTTCATTACGTTGTTTTCAGATTCAAGTTTCTTGCTTTACTGTTAATTGTTATCGAATTTTCTTTAAGTTTAATTTAATTTCATATTGCTTTATTTTATCACCTTTATCGTTCATACCATTCTTGTTCGTTCTTACTTAAATAAATATTTATTGTTGCTTTGATCTTATTTTAACATTTTCTTTCTTGTTATTTAGTTCAATCGCCTTTCAATTAAATTTGCGTCATTATCATTAAATCCCAAAAAATACTAAAAATACCCATACGAAACCTAACCATCATCGACTTCAAGGAAGTGAAAGAACTTATGCCAAGAAGAGGTTCCTTGCTTGGCCGATCAATCGGTTGGTTAGAAGTTAGAAGCACGAAAACAACAATCCAATTTTTTCCAATCAAGCCAATCAGTGGCTTGGTGGTGGCACGCCTACACAATCCAAGAGAAGAATTATCAAAAGTTCCTTTCGTCGATCATATCGGCCGAAAAGAGGGAAACAACTAGCCAAAGCCAATGACTTGGTGACAACTTAGTATGAAGATAGGATTAGAGATTTTATTTTATCTAAAGGATAACAGCAGATATGGACATAGCCAAAGGGATGTGTTCCCCACTCTGCACCCAAGTTCGAATTCCCCTCCCTATAGTTCAGATTACATTAATATAGATTATCACTTGTATAAATAAAATGAAAAAGAAAAAGAAAAAGAAAAAAAAAAGACCTAGTCATTTGGTCATTTAATTCCTTTCTTCTTTTTTGTTTTCCTCCTCTTGTGGCAAATACCATAATCAACAGCTACGAATGCCATGAACCAATTCAGCTACAAATGCCATGACGCATCCATTCAGGGCATCTCCAATCATAGTCTCTAAATGGGGCTCTAAAAATAGTGGAGAGAGACCCATTTAAAGCTCCGTTGGAATATTTTAGGCTCTAAAAGCATCTTTCCCATAATGAGGGGCTCAACATCCGAGGCTCTATTTGAATTTTTTTATGATGTAATTTGTTTTACGTGTTAATTTTTGTTGTTATTAACTTAGTTTGTTTTATTGTATGTTTATGTTATGCTAGGTTTTTTTTAATGAACATTTCTACAAAAAAAATCAAAAAATAAAAAAATCAAAATTTGGAGTAGTAATTCTAAAGATAAATTATAATTTAAAAAATAAAAAATCAACATTTCTACCCCATTTGTAATTAACAAAAATTAAAAGAAACATAGAAAAATTGAAGTAGTAATTCTAAAGGTAAATTATAACAATTGAAAGCAAAAAGAAATTAAAAAAAAAAAAAGAGAGAAGGAAATGTCGAACCAAAAGAAGAAAAAAAAAGAAGAAGAAGAAGAAAATAGAAAACAAAAAACAAAAGGGGTAGACAAAGCCCTTTATTTGGTTGTTGTTAGAAAAAAGACATTAAACAAAGCATGATGTATGCTGCATCTTTTCAAAATGTGGGACCCGCTTGGGCTCTAGGGGCTCTATTAGAGTCCACAGATTTAGAGATAGCTCCGGTGGGGCTTTATGAAGATTTAGAGATAGCTCCGGTGGGGCTTTATGATATAGGGCTCCAAATTTCTTCGATTGGGGATACCTCTTTGCACATAGGCTCTATATTATAGAGCTTCAAGAAGATTGAGCCCCATTTAAGGCCCTCATTGGGGATGGCCTCAAAAATTGAAAGGAACTTCCAATTCCAATTCCAATTCCAATTTCCATAGTCCAAAGTAGGCAGAGACTATAGAAAGCTTGTGGGAAGAAAACTTTATGTTTCACAAAATGGACTAGATTCAATCATTAATAGTTTTTTTATATTAAAAAATCTAAATTATTTAGTATTTCATAGGCAAATGATCATTTAACATATCTTAGGTTCTCAATAAGCCTCTTCATTAGTACAGTCACTTGAGCCTAATACTTGAATAACTCATATTTATGTAACGTAAGAGCGCAACACGTGTAAAGGAGAAAAATATGTATATAAAAAAAAAACCCAGTAATTTGGTAATCTCCTTCCTTTTTTTCTTTTTGCAATAATAATTTTTGCATTGGGTAATTTTGGTATCCTAGAATGAGTGAATCACGCCATAATCATCATCAGCTACGAATGCAATGACGCAACCATTCAGCTACAAAACAAAAGCCATCACGCATCCATTCAGCTACAAAAGCCATCACCCATCCATTCAGAAACGGTCAAAGATTGATTTATAAAAGGAGCTTCCAATTTCCAAACTCTGAAACGTAAACCGAGCCCAATCTTCAGAGTCCAGAGTAGGAGGCACAGACTACAGAAAATGAGCAGCGGGGCTGGCAAGGTCATCTGCGTCACCGGTGCGTCCGGTTACATTGCTTCATGGCTCGTGAAGCTTCTTCTTCAAGGCGGTTACACTGTCAAGGCCTCTGTTCGCGACCCAAGTCAGTACATTTTCCCCTCTTTTTGGTCTTCATAAGTTTTGGTTTTTCTTGTTCGTTATGGTTTCTGATCTTTTGATGCTTGTGATTTAGATTAATGAATGCAATGTTGGGGCATACCCATATTTCAGATTATTGTTATAATTGATTATTCTTCATCTTGATTGAAAATTTGATGGTTATGTACGCTTTTGAGAACCTGGTTGTGGGTATTGGTTTGATGGGTCAGATTCTCTATCTCTTGAGGTGTGGAAGTAATGCAATCGCATCTTAGAGATGTGCTTTAAGCTTTTATGGGTTTTATTTTCGTATATTGATTAAGGCTTTAGTTATTAGCTACGTCAGGAATGAATGGGGAAGTCGAGTCATGGAAATGGGGCCGAATGGCTATCTGGTTGTTCTCTTTCATATACATTTGCCCTTGTTTGTGCATGATATTCAACCTTCAATGAAGGATTTGCTTCTTTTTTTTTTTTTTTTTTTCTCGTTTGCCTTCATGGTTATACATGTTAATTTCAGTTTGATACTAAAAGACCCCTTAATACTTTATTGTTGAAACAGATGAAGTACTCTAATTTTGGAAGCTCGATGATAAAACGTTGGTTTAAATGTTTTTAGGACGAGCTGAAAAGTTTTTCGAAAAGAAGAATTTGCTAGCTCTGTTGCAGTTGTCTAGTATGTTTCTGGGGTTTCCATCCTTTCTATTCCTGTTCTGTGGACAGATGAAGTACTCTAATTTTGGAAGCTCGATAAAACGTTGGTTTAAATGTTTTTAGGACGAGCTGAAAAGTTTTTCGAAAAGAAGAATTTGCTAGCTCTGTTGTAGTTGTCTAGTATGTTTCTGGGGTTTCCATCCTTTCTATTCCTGTTCTGTGGACATGTAGTAATGTCCTGTTTCTTGGTCTGTTGGCCTTGTATCCATTGTTCTTGCTTTTTGCAGGTTCTACCGCAGGATTTAACTGTTTTGCAGGTTTTTATTTTTTGTTGAAGTTAAAATCTTTAAATAAAAAATAAAATAAAAAACTAGAAGAGTTGATTATTTTGTTATGTCCTAAATGTCCCACATATGAGCTCTTGGGCACTGTTTCTTTTGTAAGCTAGATTTGCAAGGCTAAGTTCTACCCATGGGGCAGGATATTTGGCATAGGATTTCACAGGGATATTTGGTATGGCATTTCACCACCACGGGGTAGGTGTGATCTGTAGGTTGGGTTAAAATCCACTTTGGTATTATTTATGAACATAATATCAATTCACTGTATACTGGTAGGTAGATGGTAGGTGCATGAACCCCACTTGGAAATGGCTACAATCGAGCTATCAGGGGAGTAGGTGAGTGAAAGCCACCTCAATGGAAGTAACTTGGCCAGTGTATGTAGAGTGGGCTGATGAGGAGGTAGGGCGCGGAAGAGTGTTAGGTTGACATGTGCCAGATGTCATACGTTTTATAGATAAAATATCTTTGTAGTAGCTCTTGGGCATCCTACCCTTGCAAGCTGGTGTAGCAATGGCAAGTTCTACCCATGGGTCGTGACATATTTCTGTTTCTGTGGTAGAATTGGTTTCAAAGGACAGGTACACGTCACTAATAAAAACTTATTTGGGTGCTTAACCAATAAAATGTTGGTTGAGTTCAGGTAGGATCACGTTAAATGCATGTTTCATATAAAATGACAGGCATAACTTAATTCTGACATCAAATTGTGGGTGGTATTGATCCTTCTAATTTACACATATTTCTTCAGGCAACGCTTATTCTCCTTTTCTGGGATGTTTTCTGCCCTGTCATACGAATGATTTAATGTTTTATTACTCCTATCTGTGCCATTATCATTTAATTTTGACAGAAAAATAATGCATGTATAAGTACGTAGATACATGATGTCCATTAATGCGAATACAGATGTGTCTCTAAGCTTTGACATTTGTTTATAAATTCGGATCCTATTTTACATTATCCTAACACTGAATGCAATCTTATTCCTGTATATACATAGAAGTAGCATTATACATTTTGTTTCCCTTTTTCTTTTATCTCCCAGGACAACTTGTATGCTCTAGATTGACGAGTCTTGCGTTTTCATTGTTTCTGTCAATGAGTTCTCAGAATAGTTTTAATTTTTGGATCAACTCTGTAATTTAATAGATGCGGCAAGTATTGAGAGAATGATTTACTGAGTTCATTTTTCATTTTTCACATAGATGATCCAACTAAGACAGAGCACTTGCTTGGGCTTGATGGAGCTCAAGAGAGACTTCAACTTTTCAAAGCAAATCTATTGGAGGAAGGTTCTTTTGACTCTGCTGTTGAGGGTTGTGAAGGGGTTTTCCATACTGCTTCTCCCTTTTATCATGATGTCACAGATCCAAAGGTTCATCAACTTGTACCCTTCCTTTATGAATATTAGATAGTTTTTGCATGTGCTTCCGATTTCTGTTTTGTTAATAAAGGTACTAAGGATCCTTTTTTAGGTTATATAATTTGTGGCATAAAAATTTTAAATTACCAATGAGCCATGTAATTTTCAATATCTCCTTCAGAAATCAAGGGATTAGAGCATTGGCTGTTGGGAAAAAGTGGATACATATATTTAGTTCCAACTCATCATGTTAATGCAATCAAATATGTTTGCTTGATAAATCCATTACTGTTGCAATAACATATGCTTTTTTTTTTTTCCCTTCAATGTACATGATCGAGTTATGATTCTGAAGTTTTATTTCATGATATTCATGGCCAAAAGAACCCTCTTGGCATGTTTAAGTCTATGTTGGTGGACAAGAAAACTAGTAGATGTAGTCTGTGTTTGTGTCACCCATTTTTTCTCTAAGATTAAGATTAATCTCTTCCACTCTATAAAAGTCACTACTAAAGCACACATTAAGTACATAAGTATAAGTTCATCATCATGTATCTACTTGTTGGAAACATAGAATGATGCACTAGAAATGTTAGGAACAATCGTGACTGTCCAATTTTTGCTGCCTGTACATGCAACGCACGAGTTTCTCGTTTTCTCGACAAAGCACAATGCACAAGTTAAGTTGTCAAGATTAGGATTACAGCACTTGTCTTTCGCATTCCTTAGTTGATTTCTGATAGCTTTTTGAATTCAACCTTAAAATGCAGGACCCCTTTTTCATATAATAATAACACTAGATTGTTCTTTTCTTGCTACTAATAGGGGTGGTTGTATGGCTTCTAACTGTTAAATATTTGTTGCCCCATTTCAGGCAGAACTACTTGACCCTGCAGTAAAGGGAACCCTTAATGTTCTTAATTCGTGTGCGAAATCCCAGTCTATCAGACGGGTGGTCTTGACATCTTCGATTGCCGCAGTTGCATATAACGGAAAACCTCGAACTCCTGATGTAGTTGTTGATGAGACTTGGTTTACTGATGCAGATGTTTGTAAGGAATCAAAGGTATGCATGTGCCATCATCATTATTCATACTCTTTTGAAAATAAAATATGGTGATGCACTTTGAGTCGTTACAATGTAATGGTACAGAGGTAAATGAGTATATCAGCTAAATTTGGTTTTGATTTCCTGAGAGTTGACCAAACCAAAATAATATGATTGCAAGTCTGCTTGTTAATGAATGAACAATGGATTTGTTAACGGATGATGAAAGTTTAGCAATGAAGAAGAAGATAGGGAATTTTTTAAGTGACAAGAGAAGCCGGTTCCTTTTTCCCATGCACATTTTCTAAAACCAAGCTGTAGTTTAAGTATATTTTCTAAAATATTTAACCTTGTGAATTATTTATAGGTTAGTACATATGTATTCATATGTGTGTATGTGAAATTACTAACAAGATGGTTTGCAGGGGCCTAATTAATTGTGCCTGGGAAGAGAACATAATCTTCTCTTCCTTCTTACCCAATAGGATTTTAGTATCATAGAACGCTTTTTGGGAGAAATTTCCAGTTTCCTTATTGTAAGTTCAGAAAGCATGTATGGTGAACATGAAAGTTGTTTGTATGTGGCAATATCTTCTTAATCTCTCAATCTGTGATGTTAACTTTTTATGTGCTTTTATCATAAACTCTGAAAACTTAAAAGTTGCTTTAACTTGGGCTTTAGAAATGAAATTTCTTCAGTGCTTAATGGTTACTTAAGATTTCATGTTATTTTATTAAGTTGCTAAAACCAGTTTTTGTTTTTTTGTTTTTTGTGATTGAGGGGTTCCCATGCCCATAATTATAATGTAGTCACCAAACATGAAGGTAGTTTGTTGTGTCCTTAAAGCCATTTTCATTTGCTTCATGTTTAATGATGTTGTTCACCAGACAATATCATGTCAAACCTTAAAGGCTTAAATGCTTTGTCAAAGATTAATTTTTTTGGCTTGTGCATTCAATAAAATATGGTATCTTTACTATTGTAACAAAAACATATTTTCATTTCTTTTTATGTTCCCTTAATTTTCTCCAGCTATGGTATGTGCTTTCAAAGACTTTGGCTGAGGACGCTGCCTGGAAATTTGTAAAGGAGAAGGGTATTGACATGGTTACAATTAACCCTGCAATGGTGATTGGTCCTCTGTTACAGCCAACACTTAATACAAGTGCTGCAGCAGTTTTGAATGTTATTAAGGGTAACATTTCTTCATTGTTGTATCTGGTATTTCTTGATTTCAACAAGTAAAATGTTTCCTGCTCAACATGATTGGAAAAATGTCTGCATAAACATTAGATAATTATTTTAAATAAGGATATTTCTTCATAGTCAAGATGCTGCTCTATGGTTCCTTTTATTTGTCTAACACTCAGGGCTTTCTTTCTCCATGAAGAACCTGATTGTTTTCTTACTTCTTTGTTTGATGCAGGAGCTCGAACATTTCCCAATGCAAGTTTTGGATGGATTAATGTTAAAGATGTTGCCAATGCACATATTCAAGCATTTGAGATTCCTTCAGCTAGTGGCAGATATTGTTTGGTTGAGAGAGTTGCACACTTCTCAGAAGTTGTGAGAATTTTACAGGAGCTTTACCCTGGTTTGCAACTTCCAGAGAAGTAAGTCTTTGTTTCCCACACAATTTAAATTTTGGTATAACTTTGTGATTGGCCATAGATACTTAATTTCCACATTTAACACTGTCCCATGATTCTGATAGTAATTAATTATTTGTTTTCTTTTAAATTTGAATCGCATTTATAACTAAACTCAGCATTGCCGTTTTTCACACTTTTCTGGTGTATTTTGGTTTTAGTGGTTATTTTGTATTCAAAATGAGAATATATAGTGGTTCAGAACTACAATATCTGATCCTCATTTTGCATCCTTCTAACCTTTCAGTCACGCTAAAATACAACTAGACTGCCTAGGAAACAAATGTCGTAACTGGGCTAGCTATCATCATCTGTCCTCTTAGTTCAATTTCATGTGAAGTTGAAGTTGCTGCACTTTGTCAGCCTATAGATGCTCTTCAATTAGTATTGCAAAGATTATGTCAACTAAGTGCTCATGATTGTAGTACACGGAACTGTTGCTAAAAAAATTCACCATATAAGGGGCTTAAGCCAATAGAAATTACAGATAATGTAGAAGACTCTTTGTTGGCAGACTTGTTTGTGCTCCCTCATTTCTTGCAATCTGCAGGTTCACAACTTCCTCTATTTTTTATTTATTAAAAAAGCAAAGAACATACCGAGCATGACCTGTTATTGTGCTTGATAGTGCATGTCGATGCCAAACTCTCTCTCTCTCTCTCTCTCTCTCTCTCTCTCTCTCTCTCTCTCTCCCTATGCTAGTTTCATGGAAATTAACTTTGTAATTTTACCTTTCAAATGGTATTTCCAGGTGTGCGGATGATAAGCCTTTTGTGCCAACATATCAGGTGTCCAAGGAGAAGGCAAAGAAGTTGGGTGTTGAATTCATTCCATTAGAGGTTAGCCTCAAGGAAACAGTTGAAAGCCTGAAGGAAAAGAATTTTGTCAATTTCTGAGTCTTCTTGTTTCAGTACAGTGAAGGTCTTTGCAATAAATTCAGTCTGTGTTATGTTTCGGTTGGTGTTTTCGGTTTAGTGACTTAGTCTACTGAGTCTGTGTTATCCACGCGTCTGCAGAATACAGAAGAAATTAACTATTGAATAAGATATTGGATATTGGATTACTGAGAGTCAAGTGTGTTCATGCAACTCTTTTTATCTTTGATATTAAATAACAACATGAACATTATAGTGATCTCCCTGTATTTCTTGTACTGTAAGTTTGGATGTGTTCTTTATTTTCTGGCATTTTTTAAATACATAATTTGTGATTTTTGCGCATTATTCTTTTAAATTTTGAGCTCGAAATTGACCCTTTAAGCATCAAAAAACAATTGAGCTATTTTCCTTGCCACAAGAACTTTCATGAGAACAAATTTTCCTTGCAGAACGGGGTCATAGAATAGCCATGTGTTTCGAACAAAAAAAAAAAGAAAAAAAAGAATAGCCATGTATTGTGTTAAAACTGGGCTTGATTTTCGGACTCATCGAATTCTAATTAAGAAAAATTAGGTATTAGATATAACAATCCTTGGATTTGAGAATGCTTATATAAAGCCAACAGGTCATGGAAGAACTTTATAATACAAGGATTTGATGGAGTTCACCTTTCGAGTGATATGGGACTAGTGCTCACATGCAATGAAATGTTGTTATACTCCACAGGAGAACTCCATCTTTGTCTACTTGGTGATTGAATCCTATTTTTATTTCAACATAATGCCAAACATTGTAGGTAGTTCAAACTTAATCTAATGTTCTTCAATATTCTGAATTTTTAGAATTTTAAGATATGGTCCAATTCTGATTCAATTTTTTAAAGGAATTTTTGCATTTCAGAATCAATCGGCACTAAAATTTCTAATCCAACTTGAACCCATTAAAACTATAAGAAAATTTCACAATTTTGGCATATAGTAATTAAAAAACCGAACTTTAATCTAATTTTTTAAAGTTATTAATTCGAACAAATGATTTTATTTTGAATGGTTAGACTATCATGTCATGAGATGATTTTATTTTGACTTGGTAGACTGTCATGTTATCACGATGAGAGTTTTGCACAAGTTTTATTCCATCTCCCAAAGCATACAAAATGTCACATTGTATCAACAAAGGAAGCTCTCCCATACAAAAGAGCAAAAAAGCTCTAAGGTAGACAATATTATGTACTAACTTAGAGAGGAGTCTAGGTGGCACATAATATTTGCACTAAATATTAAGATGATGAGAAGTACTTGTGTAACGCAATATTGTAGGTAGTGAAGTACAATATTTGTGTACCATGTACTACCTATAATATTGTACAATATTTTAGGTATAATATTTGTAGACATGAGCGGCACATTCACTAAAAGAGGACTCTCGGTGGTAAATTGTCAAAAATTTAATTTAGGCGGTGGTGACGCACATCCTTAATAGTTCATATCCTGTTTAGTTTTTCTTTTTGTGTTTCGTTTAAAAGACTTAATTTTACTTCCAAATAAATGTTCAATTTTTGTGTTATCTAGAAATTCTCATAATCAGCATGCATGTTTTCAATTCTGTGACCAAGGTTAGTTTGAAGTCTCATCCGGTATTAATTAATTAATACTTTTTAATTCATAACACAATATCATCTTCCATGTTAATCTAACAACTTTTTATGTATTAATTTAAAAATTCATTTTACTCCCACTTTTCTTTTAACATTTATATTATAGATTATTATATTAAGGTTTCATGTGCTAAGATAACCACTGGGTTCGGTAAGTTATCTTCATGAAACAAAGATAATTTAATTAATTATTAATGGCCTATCATGCAGCTAGGTCGACCAATTAAAATACATGGTTTCAAATAATAAGATAAACAGCAATTAAAACAACTGATAATTATCATTAATTTTGAATATCATAAATTCAATTTCGGAAGCATATTCCAGCGGCCAATCCCACCCGAAACCCCGATTTATCTCAAATACTTTCGGAGTCTGTTTTTTTAAATTTGTTTTCAACTACAACTCTTCCACGCATTTTTTCAACAACATAGAAAAGAGGAAGACTAAAGCTTGCGTCTCTGCCAGTGTCTTCTCCCTCAGAGAGTCCAACAATGGAGCCTGTTGAACAAAGTCATCCGCATCACAAGGCTTCTGTTACTTCCCAAGTGGCTTCTTATAGACTCATCAACAAGCAATCTCATGCTCAAGCTCATCTCACTCATGAACTCACTCAACCAAACGAGCCTGGAAATTCTTTCATAACCAATGTGTCTGCGGGCACAGAGCTTTCGGATGATGAGTCAAACAGTTTCAATAACAATCTGAAAAATGAGGAAGATGAGTTTTTCGATTCGTTCCCGCCCGGTTATCGTTTCAACCCTCTCGATGAGGAACTTGTTGTGCATTATCTGAAGAAGAAGGTCTTGGATCTGCCCTTGCCTCCCAACCGGATCATTGAAGTTAACCTATACCGCCACAATCCGGAATTTCTTGCTGGTACATGTCAATAAAGGAAAATTGTGCATTACTAATTTTTGTATCAATATCCCTAGGGTTATGTACTGATTCTTCATTAGATTTTCATAATGATCTAACGTTGTGTGGATGTTTTTCTCATGTAGGATTGTTGTGTTTAGGGTTTAGTATATTTTTGTTATTAACTGAGTTTCATAAGTGCATCTCACAGAAATTTATATATATAGTGAAATAGTGCCATGCAGCAGAATACATTTGTAAAATGTATGCATTATCATCACTAAGATTAAAGCTGCGTTTTAACATGTTCTTTTGCTATGTGTTTAGATAATTTTTCACAGGATGCATGTGTGGTTCTGAGATCAACTGGGTGCACTGATAGCCGTGTTACCTAAAATCTCTTAATACACTCTCGTTTCTTTTACTTAATTTAGATGATGAGAAGTACCTATAATATTGTAACGCTCTCTCTTTTTTATGTTAATTAACAGATAAATATAGGAAATATGGAGAAGCTGAATGGTATTTTTTTACTCCGAGGGACCGGAAGTATAAAAATGGTAGTCGGCCAAAGAGAGCAGCTGGTGATGGATACTGGAAGGCCACTGGAGCTGACAAAGCAGTTAGGTCTAACGGTGCTCTTGTTGGATTCAGAAAGGCTCTTGTGTTTTACAGAGGGAAACCTCCAAAGGGTGACAAGACCAACTGGATCATGCATGAGTTTCGAGTCAAGGATTCTCCCGTTCGAAGAAAAAGGGGAGAGAATGACATGAGGGTATGCATATTCTCCTTCTATATAATTGAGAATGAAATCTAACTATATATCCCAGAGTTGAAATTTGTGATGCTTACGAAAATAAGTTTTGTTGTTTGCAGTTGGATAATTGGGTACTCTGTAGAATTTATAAGAAAGTTGATAAGAACAGCAAAAGATGTGAAACTCGAAATCATGTCGAGGATTCTCTATCCCCGCAGCCCCAGATTATAAATGGGGAAGGCATGGAGATGGAGATGGAGATGAGAACCCTTTTTGATCCTATGGTGGAGTATGACAACAAATACTCAATCATGCAAAATGTTTATGGTGTATCACATAATGGCATGGTTCATAGCCAACTGCAAGCAGTCCCCATGAATGAAGTGCCCAGTTATCCAAATATTGGGCACCCACAAGCAATTGGTGCCAGAGCTTCATCCATGCCATTGTTGCCTGACAGTCTGCTCGAGTCTAGATACATTGATGAATCAACTATCCATCCAGACGACTTGTACAACTTGAAGGCATTTGAAAGAAGTCTCTACGATACTTACCAAAGGCAATTCCCACCTGTAGAGAATTTTTATCCCTATTTGGAGTAGCTTCCGTGGTTGATCGATGGCATTGACTAACTTTCGTTGATGCTAGGGTTTAGGATTTAACTAGGTAGTAAATCTTTCTAATCTTTTTCTTAGTAGTTTTCTCAACTATCTAAACAAAGTTATATTATTTGAGAATTATAATTATGTGCCATATACTCACTATGGCAGTTGGATTTTCTTTTATAATGAGGCCTTTAATTGGTTGCTCTTTTATTATATGAATTTACAATTATATGAAAATTTATGAAAGCCTATTGATGTAGGCTTTTTGTGATTAAATATATCATGCAATTAGTTTTTTTTATCCTTTTAAATTGTTGATGTGACTTGGAGCTCAGCGTTGTTTATTCTTTTTCTCTTTTCAGAATCATAGAAACAAACTAAATCTATGTTCTTCATTCGGCATTTTTTTTCCTCGAACTCCCACATATACAGAATTATCCAAGCATGGGTAGGCTGGATGAGAAAACCATATAAAAGTTGAAACCCACAAAAAATCCAAGGTTTACTCTCAAATGAGAAAAGAAAACCCATTTGATGAAGATTAACCACTTCACTTAATGAGGTACCACACTTGTTGCATAAACCTCGTCAAGGACATTCAAACAAAGAAAAATAAAGCAAAGAATCTAAATCTCTAAGAGATATTGAGCTGTCAGGCAAAAGCTGAAAAGAAGAGATGGCATGCAGCTGCCGCTAGGAAACTAGGTTTGTAGAGATGCAGAGATGCCATGTGATTCCCTAATCACTATTTGAGTTTTGTAGTTTGAGAAAAAAATAAAAAAAGTGAAAATAGTCTTGTCTCCCTTATGGTAGTTTGCAGAGATGCAGGTGCAGCATGTGATTCCCTAATCAGTATTGAGTTTGTAGGGTAGCTGAAGAATTAAATGAGGAAAAAAGTAATAAAATAAAATAAAGTCACACCCTCTCTCTATAAAACAGAAAGCCATATTCACAAGTTCACAACATCGATCAGTTTTCATCATCAACTTAGAACTCTCTAACTCTTTGGTGATTTTTTGGCCATAAAACTAGAAAAAAAATCGCACCTCAAGCGGCTAAACTCCAAACAAAACCCAAAAATCAGGTAACAAATTCATTCAAGTTAAATATTGCAATGCATGCGTTTTTCTTTAATTTTTACATACTTTAATCGCAACATTTATTACCAGAAAGAAGAGAAAAGAATTGATATCACATTTGTTTCCTGGGTATCAATTTCAGTGAGTTAGAAGAGATTCGAGAGAGAATCATCATATTTGGAGGAGTGATTATGTTAATTATTTATAAGGGATTTGCTCTTATGTTTGCAACCAAGAATCTCCAACTTCCGTTCATACAAGTATACTGTTACTTATGGCTACGGAGTCACAAGCATTTTGGAATGGGCGGTTTCGGAAAAGAGGTATTATGTTTGAAATTTTATAAGAATGTTGATTATTATTTTGTTTTATGGTTTTTTGGAATAATAAATGATTTTTTCTAGGGATCTTCAGTTCATCTCACCCGAGTACATGGATCTTTTGTTGCCTTCGTTTTCCCTTCACGGGATAGTATTGTTAAGGTTCGGTGGCGATTTGTTTTGCATGTGTAAAATGTAGTCTGTAATGGATGTGTGTGTATTGTATGTAGATTTACTTAATATTGCTGTTATATTGTATGTATATTGCTTAATATTGCCTTTGTATTGCATAGATAGTGTATGCATATTGCCACCCTATTGGATGTATATTGTAGTACTATTGCTATCGTATTATCCTTAAATTGCTCAAATATTGCCTCTATAGTGCAAGTATGTTGGCCTAATATTGCTATTATATCGTATGTCAATGGCATTTGGTCTAATAACAGTCTCCACTTCGTTCAAAGTAATCCTAAATTCAAATATCACGGACACGACAATTGTTATCCATCCTTATATTACCATGAATTGATGTTGACCTTTCAAATGATAGTTGGAGTTGCATATCGATTCATATTCAAAAGGAAAGTAATTCTCTCCCTCAATGAATTGTCGTTCAAAAGAAGGCAGCTATCAAATATTGGGTACAAAAATGCACTATCCACAGTAAATTAATTGGGCACAAACCACATATTACAAAACCAGGATGATTTTTGGCATGCTTGAAAATAGAAGGGCCAAATACAACAGAAAAGAAAATCCATTCAAGCTTGTACAATGGAACGCACAATAACCCTTTTATATGTCCTTCCAACACTAGTGTTTTGCCTGCTTTAGAGTCGCAGGAGGAGACCATATTGCCATTGTGCAATTCGAGGGGGCAGTCAATTTGGAATGGTGCCATAAACATGTTTTCTTCCCCTGACTTTTAACTAAATTAACTTTAGTTTAGTTTAATTACTTGTAAGCTCCAGCTAGATCCTTCTGTTTTCTCTTCTTCTTCTTCTTCTGACCGTTGCAGTTTGATGTAAATAAATCGGAAAATAATTCTCTCCCTTAATGAATCGTCGTTCAAAAGAAGGCAGCTATCAAATATTGGGTACAAAAATGCAATATCCATAGTAAATTAATTGGGCACAAACCACATATTACAAAACCAGGATGATTTTTGGCATGCTTGAAAATAGAAGGGCCAAATACAACAGAAAAGAAAATCCATTCAAGCTTGTACAATGGAACGCACAATAACCCTTTTATATGTCCTTCCAACACTAGTGTTTTGCCTGCTTTAGAGTCGCAGGAGGAGACCATATTGCCATTGTGCAATTCGAGGGGGCAGTCAATTTGGAATGGTGCCATAAACATGTTTTCTTCCCCTCACTTTAACTAAATTAACTTTAGTTTAATTACTTGTAAGCTCCAGCTAGGTCCTTCTGTTTTCTCTTCTTCTTCTTCTTCTTCTCATGACTCTTAAGAGGTAGTTTGATGTAAATAAATCCTAAGATTTCCATGTGATGCACAGGCAATTGGAATAAATAAAAAATAAAAAATAAAGGGATCAGTTCATTAGTGGTTACATTTAATCTTATGTATGACAAATGTAAGACAAGCCAGTTGGGTTGGGGTAAATATACGACTTCAAATCTCTTTTTCATTTTCCTTTTTCCTGGTGAGAATGGCAAAAGAGCTTGTGCCCTAGAAAACAAATATAATCGCATACCCTTTCATAAAGAGAGAGATTTGATTCTACAGGTTCTAGTTTACTCCATGGATCACCCCTATGGGACAGAGCTTCCTTCTTCCCTTGTCGTCTGTAGGTTTCAACTTCACACGTTTTATATACATGTATGAGAACTTGTGGCTATTTATGGCCTTCTAACACTTGTTCTGCCATAACAAAGTGGGTTGGAGATTTTTTGAGTTGAATGACTGGAAAGACTTCAGATGACAGAAACTAGAGATTTTGAAGAAAAAGGGTTACCAAGAATATAAGTCATGTCCTAATTCTTTGAAGGAAAAGAAAGTAAATAATAGATTTTTATTCAAACAGAAACTTAAAAACTGATCTTTTGAACAAAGATTAAAAGTCGTATTTTTTGTGAAGTATCATCGGATGGTACCGTAGAACTCTAGCTCCATGCGGAATTTGAAAGAAGAAAACTTAATTCGGAATCTTTCATATTTGTAACCACTTTGCTTGTTCTCGGAGGAAGGAACAAAAATAATAATAATAATAAACGGTGTGATTTCAATTATTTCAAAAGATTGATGTCAATACTGTTTGTTTGACATTATAAGGGCATCTCTCACACAATTAAGCCCACAAAATAAACTAAACATTCTATAAGCTCCACAATAATATTTACTTCATCTCCATAATCAGAATATTGGGGGAAAAAAAACCACGTAGAAATACATGAAATGAAAAACAACTCGGCAGTGATTGTGAGATTGTGTACATAAAACTTGGAACAACCAAACCAATTAAAGCTAAGCCATCTCATACGTATGCCTACATAAAATAACAGTGTATGGTCATCTTCTTTAGAATATTGCAATCAACAATTGGGTGAGACTGACCTGCAAAAACAACTGGGTTAAGTACAGAGATAGAGTTTATGAATGGCAGTTCCAGAATTAAGACCTATGTTAATTTGTAACTGCCACCGAGTCAGTTCATAGTGCCAAATGCAGCTATCTGGCACACAGATATGACAAGCCAAAAGAAAAAAAGCAAAGTAAAAAAGAAAAAAGAGGCATGACATAAATGGGAACCTCAGCAGAAAGCATCAGATATGCATACAAGCAGATTGGCTCCATTACAATGTTCAAGAATGATGTAAATACTAGATAAAAGAGTTCTTATTCAAACCTCAGCAGGTTTCTCGGTTTCATTCCTGGACC